AAACTGTGATTTGTGAGGAAAAATGGTCTGTTTTTATACCTTTTTGCTGGGTTTTATAATTTTAGTCAAAAACTGACAACAGCATCATGAAACGCAGTATGCAGATATGTTAATGCAATAATAACTAGCTCAGAAAAGCTTTCCGAATTAAAATTAAGGCAATTTCGGCTTAGTTATGATGTCCGAAAAACTTAGATTTTTCGGAAAAATTGTCTGTTTTTATACCTTTTTTGTTGGGTATACTAAAGTCAGAAGCTTGCAACTCTGCGAAGGAATCATTTCCGACCCTACAAACCATATAAATTCTTGATCAGCATCAACAGCCCAGTCGTTCTAGCCATGTCCGGTCAAAAAATACATTTTTGAAATATTTTCGAAAACTGAGAATTTTATAAGGGGTTACATCATTAAAATTGTCAAAATTTAACAATGAATTGAATTTTTTAAATTTGAAAACTGAGTATGCAGATTTGTTAATTTATTAAAGATTAGCATAGAACAGTTTTCCGAATTAAAACTAATGATTTTTTGGCTTAGTTATGAGATTTTAAAATAATAATTTTGACAGAAAAATTACCATATCAACTGAAAAATTTTGAATATTTCAGGTATTCTCGAGAGCATAAAATGTTTAAAAAGCTAGTCATAGCCGAAATCATATATATTTCGATTTGTCAATTAAATCTTAATTTATTAATAATAAAATATTGAGACAAAATGGCTTTATATGTTATCAATTTTTCATATTTCCAAAATTTGTTTCCCTTGCCGTTTTTGGCTTGAATGTATATTACCAACCCAGCAACAATAGTTGCCAAAGGGTTAATGGAAAAGGCATAGGCCTCGTCCAGAAAGACCTGCGGGCAAATGGAAAGGCAGCAATCTAGTGACAATTACTAGGTGACGGAGCAGACAAAAGGGGGGGACAAGGGCAGGGAATGCGCAGGGGTCTTTGGCTGTCCATGCGTAACACGAAGGGGATTTGCATACGCATACGCCGTGTGGGCGCTATAGGCCGGCAGGGGACTGGCTAGCCGAAGTTCTCCGCCCGAATTGCGCTTTTGGGCTGTAAATCAAACTTGCCAAGCATTTCAATTAAGAGTCTCCCCAGATCCGGCTCTGCGTAGTATGTAGTATCTACACAGTGCGAAAAATCGCTGGCAATTAATTTCGTGGCACTTGTGCAACACAGCGATTAAATCAAAGTGCAATTTATTGGGCACCCAACTTGAAATCCGATCTTGAGCCAGGTTGTTTTGCTCTTATTGATGTCTCCGCAAATTGATCGTAGCAAGTTCTAATCGCAGGCTCAGTCATTATTATTATTATCGTTTCAATGCTCTCACGCCCGACAGTGTACGACCGTCAATTAGACAAGATTGTTGCCAGTTGCCTGCCAGCGGGGCGTAATTATATATCTGAGCATTATAGGCCTAGAAGTCTTGTCCCTTGTTTGTCCACTAGATGTGCGTATCCAAATTGGACAAAATGGGTGGACTGGGAAGGTGAACGTGGGATACTCTAGATTAGAGACTTTTTATTTACACATTCTACATTTATTAACTGGATTTCATAGGAATATGACACTTCGTTACCTTCCTATAGCTTTAAACTTTAGGTTTCCTTGCTAGCATAACCTTTCCTCAGATATTGGGGAATATACTATATTTCTGTTTTCATTCACTCTGCTTTTTTGTAATTCAGGTTTTCTAGCATTACAGAGATGAAATAAATTTTTTAAGTGTATATCTTTTTATCATAAGACTTTCATAATGGTAGCATTTTCATAAAAATAATTATTTGCAATTTGTTTACCCCATTAAGGAGGATACTATCACCAGAGGCGTTATAAATACATCCTGAAAGATATGAGAATGTAAATTAATTCCAATACGACACATTAATATGCATATTTTTAAAGTCTTCATGCAGTATCCCCAATTGCAGCCTGGGAAATGGATTGCCTTAGTGCATTTTCTAAGGCTTCGGCAATTACAAATTGCCACTTGCCTTATTAATTGAGGCGTGACCATCAACACAAAAGCTTGTGTTAAAATTTTAATTTAATTTTCCGACTGCAGCAGCAGCAACAACGGAAACAAGTAAATTACCTCCAAGACCTGCAGAACGTGCAAACGGATGGGGTTTCTCTTGAGGGCGTGACAAAGGCGTTGAAAACATCGAAGTAAATTTGAAATCAGCAACTCAAAGACTTGAATTAATTTGCAAAATTTTCGTTTAAGCTAAATGTCGTTCTCCTGATTTGATTTTCATACTTCTGGAGGTTGCATGCGGCGCATGAATAATGCCAAAGTTGGCGAAGAGGCGTGGCTTCGTTTGCTTTATTGATTGTTCGTGATTAGCAAAATGCAATTTAAGCGGCGCCTTTTAATTAAGTGCAATATTCGTAGCCACAGCAGCAGTAGAAGTCAGTTGGTAGTTGGTAGTAGATGATGGAGGCAGCCAACGACCTCTAAGCCGTGACACACGCAATTTCCAAGCAAAACAATAAACAATGCCGCTGGCTGGCCATAAAAACTATAGTCCAGGGAATGAGAATGGGTGGGTGGGTGCACTCTCCGAGCAGTAAAAGAAAGGGGTATGAACTGCGACGAGGAAAGTGTAAACAACGCTCAAGGATTTCGCTGTGAAACGTGGCAAAGTGTCGATGAACCGGAACAGAGAAACCGCTAGATAAAGGTTTAAAGTACCCTTTTTTGGGAACATATTTGTTGTCAGAATTATATAATCTTAAAAGATTTTAGAGAAACTATTTGTAGATTAAATGATAAATAATAATTCTTTTGCCTAGTTGAGAACTATTATTTAACAACTCCTTTGAAAACATTTTAGGAGTTCCTATGGCAAGGAAACCCACTGAATTATATCCTAATTTTAAATGCATTCTTTTGTGATTTTTCCCATATACCCCCTTCAACAAGAGTAGCTAAAAACTGAAAGAATAAAACTAGTTTAGCTTTTCAGTGGGTCAGTGCGTGGGCCTGATGCATTGCGTTTTTATTTGTCCTTGCCTCGGAGCGTGTATCCCCATCTCTGCTCGCATCTGTATCTGTATCCTTATCTTTAGCTGAACCAGAGCCTGAGCCTGGGACACACGTGTCGTTGTCTTGGCAGTATCCCTTCATGCAGCAGAGGTCCTTACTTCTTCAGGACAGCGGCCACGGGGGCAGCAGCATAGACGGCGGGGTAGGCGGCACTGTGGGCCACACTGTGGGCGCTGTAGCTGCTGGCATAGGGTGCAACATAGGGGGCGTAGGCAGAGGTATAGGCCAGAGGGGCGGCAGCAGCTGGCAACGAGCTATAGGCCAATGGGGTGGAGTAGGCCAAGGGGGCGTTGTAGGCCAACAATTGGGGACTGGCGGCAGCGGCAGCGAACAGAGCGCACAGGACAACGGCGAACTGTAAAAGAATTTTGAAGTTTATTTAGATTTTAGATCTCAAGATTTAATAAATCATATAAATTTTGATAAACTTTAAAAGGATGTATGGCACACAAATCCTTTTAATCTATTTAGTCAAATTCTCTTCTACTTACGAATTTCATCATTTTGCTTGGGCTGGTTGTATTGTCTTTGAAGCTAGACTTCTGATTGATGTCGATGCTTGGGCTTGTTTCCATTTATATAGTCAAATATCCATTTCATCCTTGACAAAGCTCGCTCCAACTGATAAATTTTCATCACGTTCCATGGCCCGAAATCAGGGCCAACAATTTTCGGCTTCTTTACTGGCATACTTTAAATTGGCGGATCAGTATTTGATATTATCATAGATTGTACGCATTCCTTGTCTGCTTTTATTTTCATTGAATGTATTATTTTCCTTTGTATTCCTCCCCCACTCGAGCATTTCCGCAAACTGGCGTCAGCAACTGCCTTCTGCGGATTCAATTATCATAATTTAGCACTAACACTTCCCTCCGGCTCCCGCACACTTGTTGGCCATCGACGTGCGTGTCATTCCAATCCCTACAATCGAACCCATCTTGGCCATCTTCGTCTCCGACTTTGAGCCGGGCTTTTAGCCCCCTCTTCTCCGAGAGCGTTTCAATTGTCAGCCACTCCAACGCGCCGCTTTGCATTCAAATCGAAGATGCAAATAAAAATAGCAGCGGTTTATCCAACGCCGAAGGACGTCACCGGACTGAACCCTTTGGCCAAGGTGAAGGACATCCGGAGCTGGGAAATACATAGTAAACAACGGATCAAGGGCTCGCTGGCAGTTCAATAAACTTGCCAACTATAGTTGACCCTATCCCATAATGGTAAACATGGTCATTGCCATGGCAAAGAACGCAGTTTCCTTTTAGGTTTTTACTAAGGGATTGTTAAAAAATATATGTTGGGTTTAATTAGTTTAATAAAATATTTATATACTTCATCTAGCTATTTTTAAAATGGAAAAATTTGAAAGAAATTTTCAACAGTTATAAGTAGGGCAATATATAAATATTTTGGCAGAAACTCTATGTTTCTTCCAAAGGTAAACCAGGGGATAAGAAATTATAGGAAAGTAGAGCACATTTTTCCCGTATTCAATTTCCAGTATTTAACTAGATTCATTTTGTTGTATTTTCTCAAGTTATCTAAAGAATAGTTTGACCTTTCTCTACAATGATCAAACCACTACTGAGGCCTTAATATGTTAGTAATTTATATCGGAAGAAAAGCTAAGCCAGTTATTACTTCTTAGCTTTTAAGCTACTTTGTAAATCTACTTGATATAAAAGTAAAAAGCCTGAAAGTATGTAACCTCTTACAACATTATTTAATAAAAAACTCAAGAAAAGTTTACGTTTAGCGCAAAATGCAGTATTTATTTCAACAATTATGCTCCTATATTCCATTTATATTGCTTTGTGTCCTGTTCCCATGTTTCCACTTTCAGCAGCCGGCAGAGGAGGTGGGGAAAAGTGGGAGTCTGCCGAACTAACACCGGGGATTATAAGGAGGGAAAAGTATCCTTGTTGTAATATTTATAGGTATATTTCAGGTCCAGTTGAGCAGTCGGGATAATCCATCATATATCCGGGATCTTAGCGGTAGTAGGCGGCATAGGGATAGGCGGAGTAGGCGGAGTAAGCGGAGGCATAGGGATAGGCGGAGTAAGCGGAGTAGGCGCTGGCCACCGGAGCAGTGTAGGCGGCGGTGTAGGCAGCGGTGTAGGGAGAGGCGGCCACCAGAGGAGCAGAGTACGCCAGTGGAGCGGCAAGCACCGCTGGCTTGGCAGACACGCAGGCCACGATGGCGAACAGGCACAGGGCAAACTGTAAGTAAAAATTAATATTAATCCAATGATCCGGCAAAGGTCCTCCTCTATGGGTAATCCTGGATCCTTACGTATTTGAACATGTTGCTTTAGGTTGGTTGGTTGTGAACGGTTGGTTCTCAAGTACTAGACTGATATCTCCTAGAGCCTAGGCACCCGGGTATATATAGCAGAATCGGTCGAGAAAATTCCAAGCCAAAAAGAAGACGAAGGTGATGCCAGTTGGGGGGGAAATTAATATGCACAGGCCATGCTCAGATCGGTTCCAAGTCCATTTTAAAGGCAGCCAAGGAGAATCTCCGGCATTATGGCTTTGCACTTTTCGATTTCGTTTTCGTTTGGTATTTTTAAAAGCGTGACGAAAAGCGAAAAACAAATCGATGACGGGGGCCTGTACGGAATAATAAATATATAGCCAAGTATACATCAGATACCAGACTCTTGGTGTGACCCACAAAAACTGCCGGGTTTCGGTCACTCAGAAGTCTATAAAGCTGTGTTCTGCCCCTCCGAGCGGATTTATTTCGCTTTTAGAACCTTTAGCAATCAGATCTTATCAGCTCGGCAAACTATGTACAGGAAATTAGTAAGTCTCAAGCGATTCTCCGCGGAGAAGACGATGCACTTGCTCAAAGATGATGAGGCCTCGCCATCGGTGGCCATTTCAGGTGGCGCTTCAACTTCTCCTCCTCCTGCTGATCCACTTGGTCGCAGGGGGTCAGATCCAGGATGCTGCCGAGGAGATCGATGTACCGCCTGCCCACCGAGCTGCTCCGCCACCTGGAGCTGCTGCACCACCGACGCAGCCACTCGGTCCGCTGGGACCACCGCCTGTAGCCTCTGCTCCGCCGCCCAATTATCCTTTGTTCTACCCAGCTGCGTGGCCGCCATTCGGACGCTTCAGCGCCTCCATTCCCGTCCAGCCGCCAGTTGTGGCGATCATTGCCTGAGGGGCCACCGGCCAGTGGAAGGACGCTGTTGTTCCTCCTGATAAATTGTTTTTCCCGTTACTGTTAACACTTTTGTTATTGTTTTTCTGTTTTGAATGAAATATATTTTTAGCTACGAGATGCATAATTACGAGAGTTTACTCATGGCTGACGCCACTTTTGAAATGGCCAACACGTGCTTCTCCTACAGAAGATGCTTCTGTCAATATCTATTTTTTAAGGCATCTATCATTTTAGCCATTAGCATATTGCCAATAGATTCAGTGACGCCACTTTCTGGGCATTTACTGAGATGATTTCCGCATTTGTAATCAAAGGAAGAGGGTAAAGGGAGGATTATTATTTCTGTATTCAAAATATAATGAATGAACATTACGAAATTATAGAAAAATTAAAAAAGTATTTGACCGAAAGAATTAAGCTTATAATTTCGATTCCTTTTATAAGTTTTTTTGACTTTAAAATGTTGTATAAAAACTATATACATCTTTCACAATATATATAATTATTTATATAAACTTGTACGGAGATTTTCTCGGTATAAATAAACAAAATGAGCTCCAAAACTACCTTAGAGATTTTTTTTATTTATTTCCATACAGGAGTTTGTAAGCTTGTTACTCGGTAAAGGAATCATTTCCGACCCTACAAACCATATATATTCTTGATCAGCATCAACAGCCCAGTCGTTCTAGCCATGTCCGGTCAAAAAATAAATTTTTGATATATTTTCGAAAACTGAAAATTTTAAAATTTCAAAATTTAAAATTTAAAATTTGAAAACTAAGTATGCAGATTTGTTAATTTGTTAAAGATAAGCATAGAACAGCTTTCCGAATTAAAATAAATGATTTTTGGGCTTAGTTATGAGTTTTAGAAACTGTGATTTGTGGGGAAAAATGGTCTGTTTTTATACCTTTTTGTAAGGTTTTATAATTTTTGTCAAAAACTTACAAACGCAGTATGCAGATTTTTTAGTGCAATAATAACTAGCACAGAAAAGCTAAGGTATTTTAAAATCAGTTAAACTTCTTTTGGCAAGATCACTATTCTTTAAGCCTTTCAAACTTGTTTATTTAATATAAGTCCCACTTTAACTTGAATTAATCTTTTAAAATATTTAAAATTTCCACATTCCCACTCTTCCCAAATAATAATATTTGCAATCTTTTGTTTATATGGTTTTTAATGCATTTTCATTCCGTTTCGAGTCCGTTTCAAATCCGTTATGTATATCCTTTTAATCCTTCTTACAAAACCGTGGTGTAAGCAGCGGTGTAAGGGTAGGCGGTGTAAGGATATGCGGAGTAGGCAGCAGCCACAGGAGCGGTGTAAGCAGCGGCAACAGGAGCGGTGTAAGCAGCAGCAACTGGGGCAGTATAGGCAGCAGCCACGGGAGCCACAATTGGAGCAGCAGCCACTCCGTTAAAGTTCCTGGCCACGTACTGGGAGCTGGTTGCAGTGACCACACCGGCGGGAACAGCAGCCAGGACAGCGGGCTTGGGCTCGGCCACAGAGCAGGCCACGAGGGCGCAGAGGACAACGAGGGCGGACTGCAAAGAAAAGACAAACCCTTTAGTCACTTTCCGGAGATCAGGGATTAGAGATCACCGGACACCTACCAGCTTGAACATGTTGACTTAGTTTGATTTGAGCTAGCAAATTGGACTACGATTGTCTACGATCGGACATGCAACTTTTATACCCTGTGAGAGCCACTCGGAGATGCTTGAATTTCTGGGCACACACGGTAATGGCCAATTGGGCGAATGATTCTATATAACATAGCGACCGCCGCCTGCATGGGAATGCAGAGCGGCCTTTGAGCTTCTGTTATTGTTGGCTACGTGCCCGCCGTTCGGGGAGGTCGCTCCAACCCGATCCGATCCAGTCCAGTCCGATCAGAGGCTATCCATTATGCCGGGCACGTATGTTTTGGGGGCCCATAAAAGTTGTCGTAGCGAAGGCTTCATGGCTGTGACCAGTAGCCACCTGGGGCCGCTAATTGCCGGCGACTGATGAGTAACCTCTTGGGCCAAGAGTTGGCCAGAAATCAATGAAACTTCCCCCCGCTTAAATACGATTGCGATTGCATCGTTTCAGGGTTACGTTTGCCACAAATTTTACGCAATCTGATCCCACGCACGCTTCGCCGAATCTAATCTCTCCGATTGCAGCTGCAACAGGCATTCAAGTTGTCCAGAAACGCCCACTGGCCAAAAAGGCGGTTGCAGCAACAGTTACGCACAAAGGTCAACGCACCACATGCAGATATGCGATTTTGAGGGGGCCCAAAGTTATCAGCCATCGTCAGTCAGTCAGTCAGTCGGACTATGTATAGTTGGCAGGCGGCTCAAGCTCAGCTCGGAGAGCCTGCATCATGGTTATGCATTCCGGGTGGAGCAGCAAACCAGACAGATACCAGATTCTAAAAGCGGAACACAAGAGTTGCCATACACTAATACCCTTTATATGATCCTGGGAATGAATAGATGTAGCTTTAATTGGACGGTTTAGTTACCAATTCAAAACAATTGCGAGAATTTTGGTTATCAATTCCAAGCTACTTTTAGAACGTTGATTCTTAACTTTATTTTCTGGACATGGTGGTGCAATGTCATAACTTTGTATAGTGTTATAAAGACCACTAAAGAAATCTAATAAAATTAACTGAGGGTCTTATAATATTATTGATTGTTTTATTGCCGCCTAAAAATAATTTTCCCTTTTCAATTTCCCGAATAAATACCCTCTTCCATAAAATCTCAAAACTATAGAACTTTAGAATGCATTTTTCTTGCGAAAAATGTGCAAACTTCAGCCCGATCCCCCGCAAGAGTATAAACAAAACAAAACAAAGTGCAGACCGACAATTTTTATCGCCTGGTTACAGCCTGACGCTGGACTACTGAGGGCTGACAATCTTCGGGAGAGCCAGATAATTCCAATATGTAAATATATATACACATATGTATATAGGGAATTCATTGATTGGGAGGCTGGCTGGACTACAGTCTGCGGATTCTCGTTGCGACAGTTTACGATGTTAATTGAGGGCGAGCGGTTCGTGAAAATGATGAATAAGTCGGATTGCAGGATCCTCGCTGTGATCCTTATCCTGGTGCTTTCGGTATCGGTAACAGCAGGCAGTGGGGGAGATGTACCCCTGCGATGCGACGAGTACGATTCGATGGGATTTATGGACGTGAACGAGGCCTTTTGCACGGTAACAGGATTCACGGTCACGCACAGTCAGAATATTGTGATCAAGAACATTCCGCCGGGAAATATGGTCAAGTTCATGAAATTCTACGAGTCTTCGCTGCTCTACATGCCCTTCCACCTATTCGAAACGTTTCCACATCTCAAGACCCTGGACGTCTCGAATACGAATATATTGGAGCTGACGAGGAATGCCTTCAGTGCGGCCAGCAACCTGACCTATCTGAATCTGGCCTACAACAACCTGACCTCAATTCAGACTTCGGTGTTTATTGGAGCCAATGTCCTGATGCGCCTGGATTTGTCCTACAACGATATCACTTCACTGAGTGTGAATGCCTTTTGTGGCCTTCACACCATCAGTCAGATCTTCCTCACGGGCAACCGGCTCAAGGAGTTGCACACCGACATCTTCAAGGATAACGAGTACCTGGAGAAGGTGTCCTTAGAGGGCAATCTGCTGACCACCATTCAGCCGGAGGTATTCCGCAATATGCGTCGAATCAAGGAGGTGAATCTGTCCAACAACCAGTTGATCTACATCCATCCGGACACCTTTGCGGAGGCTGCCAGCCTGGAGAATCTGGTGCTGTCCTACAACCAGCTAAGGAATTTCCAGCTCACCGAGAAGAACATCGTGCACCAGCTGCACTTGGACAACAATCACTTGACCAATCTAACCATAAATGCCACACGATTCGTCCGGGCCAGTCACAATAACATATCGGAGCTTATCCTGCACCAGAGTCTGCATATCGAGACACTCGACTTGAGTGCCAATCGGCTGACCAGTATCTCGAATATAACAAACATCACCTACATGCTCTATCTGGATGTCTCAGACAATCCCATCGGACCCCTGAATATCTCAACTTTCGCACAGCTCAAGCGACTCAGGGGACTGAATCTCCGGGGCACTGGCATCCGGGAGCTCAAGTTTGGAATGTTCTCAAAGCAAAAGTATTTGGAGGAGCTGGATTTGTCGTTCAACAACCTGACCACCCTCAACCTGGATATGTTTGTGCCGTATTTGACAAATCTCAAGAAGTTCCTAGTGGATGGCAATGAACTGACGGAGCTGCAGGGCAATCGCTCCTTCTCGGACACCTTTCCCCAGCTCCAGAAATTGGGGGTTTCTCGGAACCGCTTCAATTGCTCCTACCTGCATCACCTGCTCATCCCGCCATCACTGCCCGAGTCTGTGGTGCTGAACATTGAGCCGGACAACAATCTGGAAGAGACGCCGCACATCCGTGATGTCTCCTGCATCAGTCGGTCCCAGGAGTCCCTCAATGCCACCTTCTCCGCCGAGGAATCTGCTCTGGAGTCACACATACAGAGGCTGTCCAAGCAGCTGGAAATAGTCGGATCCCATTCGAGGAATCTCGAACTGCACCTGGCCTTCATGCAGGTCTTTGCCTACGTTCTAGGTGGAATTGTTCTAGTGGCGGGGGTGACTCTGATAACATTACGATATCTAAAAAATCAGCGATCGGGAAGATATGATCGGAGCAGCATCGTCTTTCACTCGAACGCCACCATGGATGCTACCATGACCTTGGACAGTGATCAGTGATTAATCGGTTATTCGGAATTAAACTAGAATTGCTTTTACAAATGTACAAATGCATACATTATCCCCTTTTTTTTATTTATCAAGTAACTTTATTTTGAAATGCTCAGAAGTCTGAAAGAAAATAATGCAATATTAAATATGAAAATTCCTTTTTTAATGGTAACAAAGTTTAATAATATGTTAATAGATTTAAAACAAATAGGCATAGGCTCTGCAAACAATGATCTGTTCATAAAATGCATGTACGTTTAAATACTGAAAAATAAAGAAATTTCAATAAAAAGAAAACAATATAAAACCCGGAAAAAGATAAAGGGAAGAGAGCGATTTATTTGCAGTACAGTTTATCTGAAGTGACGTTGACTTCTATGTCCAGAGATCGTACTTCCTGTATGCCACTGGGCTTTGATAATTTAGAGATGTAAGACCTTGAATAATATCCAAACAGATCGGCAAAGTAAACATTAATAACAGTCATATTAGTCAGAAAGATATACATGTTTATACCCTCGCTGGGTATTATAATTACATTCAGAAGCTTGTAACGATGTGAAGAAATGATTTCCGACCCTATAAGCCATATATATTTATTTTATGTTTTTTAAACATAATAGAATACGGCAAATGTATAACGCTTTATACATCTCTAAGCAAAAACTAATTCAAGTTAATGCAATTCAAACCTTGTATAACTTACAATAGAATTCCCTATTAATAAACTATAATTCCTTGGTGTAAGCTACCTATCAATTCTTATTTTACAAAATATAAACTACATTAAATTTGTATTCGTTTTATATTTCATTTATTTTTTCTTAATTCCAGCTTGTTATCGTTCCATTGAATCCAGTCCGGGGAGCTCTGATCCAACCTACTTCCTCAGCAGCAGAGGGGCGGTGTAGGGAGCAGCTGCCACATAGGGAGATGCCACATACGGGGAAGCCACGTAGGGAGACGCCACATAGGGAGAGGCAGCCACATACGGGGAAGCTGCTGCCACATAGGGAGCCGCGAAGTTGCCGTGATACTCCCGGCTGTAGACAGCAGCCGCCGGAGCAGCAGCCACCAGAGGAGCGGAGTAGGCCAGAGGAGCCACGATTCCGGGCTTGGCAGCCACGCAGGCGAACAGAGCGAACAGGGCAACGGCGACGAACTTGAACATCTTGGAGGTGGATTTGGTGGCTTTGGTTTGCTGGCTGACAAAACGAAACTGATGACAAGTGGTGGATGAACACGAGCCTTTATACCCGAACGACCACCCACATTTGGCCCTGGGCACTATTCCCCTTAGTGCTTATAATTTAAAGCCAAGCTTTTAATTAGCCAAAAATATAAGTACAAGTACGCGTACACGAGTCTTTGTACCTAAATGCGTTCGCTGAAGTCTTGAGCTCTACGTGACTGGCCTATCCAAAGAAAAATCATTTACTTTTCGGCCGGAGACCTTGCAAGGTCGCCCCGCTTGGCCCGCTCAATTTGTGACTATAAAAGCCTGGCGCTTTGGCTGTTTCAGACATCAGTTGCATTTGTTCAATCCGACAAGTACTACCCAAAAACCAAACCAATCCTTTCAAGATGTTCAAGTTCGTCGTCGCCGTCATCTTCGCTCTGTTTGCCTGCTCTGCTGCCAAGCCCGGAATTGTGGCTCCTCTGGCCTACTCCTCGCCCTACGTGGCCTCCCCGTATGTGGCCTCTCCTTACGTGGCCTCTCCGTACGTGGCCTCCCCCTATGTGGCAGCTGCTCCGTACACCGCCGCCTACACTGCCGGATACGCTGCTCCCTATGCCGCCGCCTACACTGCCCCGTATGCTGCCGCCGCCTACACCGCCCCCCTGCTGCTGAAGAAGTAGGTGCCGAGGAAGGTGATCACCGGAGCTGGAGCAATATGGATTGACACTCGCAACTAAATTGAAATAAACTCGCAAACAAACGAACACATTTGTCTTTAAATCCAGGGAAACAAACAAAACGAAATCGTTTTAGTCTAGAGCTTCGACTAAGGTATACCGTGTACTTAAGTCAGTAGAAGGTATTACTTAGGTGAGGTTATTTTAGGGCCTGTAAAACCAAGACTAGGTTTACATAAAGCTGTACACAGTTCGTGGCCGCCTTATGGGTGTAAAATATCTCCTTTAAATAAATTAATATTACATAATAATAAAAGGAATTATATATTAGGCCATTAATGTCAATTACATCCAGATTTTCATATACATTTTCACAGAAACAATATACCCTTCCTTGCTAAAATACGTTCTATAAATAGTAAGTTTTGCTGATAGAAACGACGAGGAACTTTATTACATTTATTCATCAAGCATTCCAGGAATTCGAAGAAGCAAAAATTAACTGCAACTTGTGACTTTTTGGGTTTTCTTTTTTACAAAAATAAAAGAAAATTGCAGATTTTATTAGCAGTTTTTGAATAAATTACTTTGAACTTTAATTTTGGCATTAAGCTAACTTTTAAAGCTATTTTTTTAGCATTTGTCAACCGGGTTTTGCATAAAAACTTTGACATTTATATAATTATAAGATTAAAGAAGTTGGGAAAATACAAAAAAAGTTTCCAAGACTTTAAGATTACTAAATAATTTACTTAAATTATAACTGGTTTTAATAGGGGTTTTCAAAAGCAAGCATTCCCAAATAAAAGTATTAAGAAATATATAAGTATTTATAATTATATAATGATTCAATGATTAATATTTAAAATTTAAATCTTTATTTATTTCTCTAAACATATTAAACAAAACTCATTATTAGATTCGTAAGTATTATATTTATATTTAACACCATCCCACTCACAATTATGGCAGAGGCATAATAAACTGCTGGATCGTGACGGTGGCAGGTATAGTGTCCCGTCTCATTACAATTAAGGATAATTATCCTTGACTCGTCCACATGTTGCCGGGCGTGCTGGCGAGCTATCGGATGCGGACACAACAGCACAGCGTTTAGACAATGCAACGTGCGGCGTGTGTAAAATTAGAAACGGGAGCGTATACGTAATCTGTGGCAAATCAAAAACAGAACCGGAACAGGAGCGTTTAGCATTTATTTGGCATTATATAAAGGCCCTGCTTAAATGCAAATTACAAACTCATGTGTCAGCCCAGAAGTATGTAACCTTTTCAGTTGTTGGTCGAGTGTGTTAACCCTTAGGCCAGCCATTGTGGTCGCTCGCCCAGACTGCGACTGATGCCGATGCTGTTGGTCACCTGAAAGTTGACTGACCAGCCCAGAAAGAGCGAAATATTGCCGAAGGGGTCAAGTACCACCTTGTGTTTCACGGGTTTCTGACTCTGGTTCTGGCTTTGACCCTGCTTCTTGTGGTTCTTTTTGGTGAGAGCACTGTACAGTGTGTTCGGTGGATCCTGCACGAATTTCTGAACGCCGATGGCGAGTTTATGTAGGTCACTAAGGAAATCGTTGGGCGAATATAACTTGGCGTGGTCATCGATAAATGCAAGAGATTCCATGGATTGCGGGTCAAGTTGGTTTTGGTAAAGGACTTTCTCCTGAGAGTCCACTGTCCTGCCAGCTCCTGTTGCCAGGATAACGTACACAGGCTGGCTTAGGCTCAGCTCAATTAAACCTAAACAGATTACAAAAAGCTGTTGAAGTATTTGGATATGAAATTATAAGATATTTATTTTATAGGTTATTTATTAGCATATTTTCCCCAGTGTACTTACAGAGAACATATCCTAGGCCCATCTAAACAAAGACTAAACCAAGGCCAGACAACAACAGCGGCTTAAATAGCACTCAAGATGGAGTCCCCATTCTCCCCAAATACCCGCCATTTATGACACTTGAATTTCAAACCAATTTCAGAACTTTATTTGAGGCATGTCCATCAAAAAGGTGGCTAAACCCGCTAAGGATAGCTCCAGGCGAGGACGCTCTCTTTGTGAGTTGCGGCAGAGTCACCGCTCACCAGCCGTAGCCATGGCCATAGCCATGTCCATGTCCATGTCCATGTCCAATTCCATAGCTGATGGGATGCACAACACTGTGCGAGGTGGTCCAGATGGGCTGGATCACCCTAACCGAGGGCAGGCTGTGGTAGGAGTGGGTCAGGATGGATCCATGCGAGTGCAGGAGGCCGGGAGCGGCACAGCTCAAAGCCAGGCAGAAGGCAAGGAAGACGAACTGTGGGGCGGGATATAATAACTTGGCCACTTAATTAACTCCTGCCACAGCCACGGGTAATCCTTACCAGCTTGAACATTTTGATTTTTTTGAGATGGAGAGAACTTGTGGAACTCGAAACTCGCACTGGAGATGTGATGGCTTTTGGAGTGTGCTGCGAGTTTATATAACAGAGACATGAAGCCGCAGCAATCGCCAACTGCTGAAACCTTGGACCGATACCCAAAACCTTAGAAGATTTTTCACTGAAATCTAAGCAGACGCCGCCTGATCAGATTTCGCGACTCACTCAGGTGAGTGACTTTGGCTGGTTGGCAAACTCGAACCAAAGACCTGCACCGCAAATGCGACTGTTGATATTGCCAAATACGCACCGCAGTGCTCCAAAAATTGCGGGAACTGCGCAATTTTTCCAGCAATAAACAAATCAACAACCCACAAAAATAGGAAAACATTCAATGCATGGGTACAAGAACAATAAACTTAATTGATTTTGGCGTAGGAGTTTGTTTTCGCTAGCTGGAAGACAAAAGGAAACTTGGCAATTTTTATCGACACCACCCACCACCCACAATCCCTGACCTTGAAAGCCTCTCGACCGAAGTAGCACAAATACCGGAAGTGCGTCTCAAGTCCGGACGCACTTAATTGTTTATTTTTGGGGCCAAGAGCAAGGCTCCAACCCGAACCAGGACGAATCCAAATCGAAGGAAGTAAACAAACCGACGGCAGAGTTGTGAACATTTGCGCCTTAGACAAGTCGAAGGAGTGGGAAGTAATTACACTTCAGAAAATATTTATTTAATTATGGTTTTTGATCTTAAGTAAATTAGAATGCTTTATGTAAATCAAACAATTGTTAAAATTATGAATTCACTGGTAGATCAAACTCAATTTAATCAATATTACTTGCCGCGTTCTTAAATCAACCAATAAGTAAATGTTTTGTCAAAGTGTATCTAAAACACCAGCAGTGGGAGGAAGCAACCATCCAGAGTTCTTTGTGGCAGGCTCTATTCCTGATTCTGCGGTAATGCAACATTCACTGTCTTGTCAGCGAACTCACGACAATCCGATTCGCATCTGGATTCTGAGTGGCAGGAACGAGTTCCCCAGAGCAGAGCAATGTGGTTGCACTATGTGCAATTGCAACTGGGCCCATTCAAAGTGAGTTAAGGGCTTCTTTTATTCGCCGCCTGCTGGGCAAATGCCTTTGACCTTGGCCACCAACCAGAGAGCCTTCACCAAAGTGAAGGTCTGAGCCAAGGAGCTATAAAAGCACCATTCGCCCAACAGCGAGTATTCAGTTGAAGAGGTGATCGCCAAGGAATTGGAACGATAATAAAAATGAAGCTGGTAAGAGAAGTCTAAGATTTGCTGTCTAATTAGTATTAAGTAAAGTAAATGTTTCTTCGTTGCAGCTCATCTTAGCCTGTTTGCTGGGACTTGCTCTGGGCCATGAGGTGTATACGTACTACACGCCATCCTATGGGTACTACGGGTATCCTACGACCTATGCCAGGACCTCGGCGGTGCTACCTTTGGCCTATTCCCGGCTAATTGCTCCGGCTGCCGAGCAGTCGCATCTTTATCACAGCGTCGAGACCCCGAACTCCTTCCAGCAACAGTATCGCAGTGACTACAAACCCCTGACCTACGAGTACCTCTACTAGATCCATTCTAGAGAGCAACAAACTTCGATTGGAGGCCAATTGTAAGCCAGTGAAATTTGAATAAAGTTCGAACTTAACTCATTGTGTGTGCTGATCGGGGCTGTCTGCGAAAACAACTTCCCTACTTCTCCCTGGGTCAGCTGCTGTCTGTTGAACTCGGCCTCCTATTGTTCAGTTAGAAAGCCTGAACAATGGGTGCCAATATCGAATAACGCGGCTTGGTTCCCTGCCCTTGTGGCCAGTTATTCACCCGGGCACCTACCTACCTGTTCACACACTCACCTATGGGAGGCCTGTCTAAATTTAAGTGAATCATAGAGTGGCAACAAATCAAGAGCTCGTGCCGTACGTCACTGGGGCAAGGGATGAAGCCATAGGATCCTGCTCACTGCTCAGAGTGCAATGTGACCGCAGAGAAAGGCGGCGTGGAAGTCACCTCCTCCTTGTGGTTTCCTTCCACAATCTTTGCCCTTTGCTGCGTGGCTACCAGAGCCGGAAAGAGTCCTGGAACGTGACCCCGGCTCTAGTCACATGGCACATCCGCCCCGTGGGACATACGTACGCAAATGCACAGAACGGAACTCAATCGCTAATCGAATCAATTACTTTAATTAATATCAGATACTCTGCGGGAAACAGGTAAAGCTTAGCCACCGCTTAGTCAGGACTTACATGCACTCTGACCTTGGAATATAATATAATCCGCTTTTACATCGCGCAAAAATTCAACAAATATTAAATTACATTTTATGCAACTACCATGACTTTTCCGCTTGAATTGCTGGGAATATGGAAAGCGGATGATTGTGTGATTTCCATTAATTCAGGTCATTTTTTATGGTTCAAATGGTTTATGTAGATTTTTTATATTTAAGTTTCTCTTATTAAATTCACTTAAAAGGCTTTAAGGTTTGTATAGTATAAAATAATAATTTAAGCTAGTGGAATTTAAAGACCCAGTACTTATAACTTAATATAAATGCATATGATAAAACATTAACGTAATTATTTTGTAATATCTTTTAATTTTATACATAGAGATGCTCTATGTTTGATTATCCTAGACCTTTTTATTTTTTAGTAGAAAGTTAATAATTCATTATTCTATAATAAAACTACCATCATGTTCTCTTGAAATCATCGTCGCACAAAATGCGTCATTTTCAGATAATTACAGCGTACTTTTATGGTCATTAATACCCAAGATTAATGATTACGAAACCAGATTGAGTTCGTGTTCATTATGCGGGGCAAATTAGAAGTAACTTCTTCCCGCCCAACAACTGATGCCACTGATTAGCTTTAGCCGGGATGTCGAGGGAAGGTGGCTTCAATATCGGCTTACTAGAAACATCTCCCCCAACTATCAAAGAGGAAAACCAGTTCCTGCAACTGAGAGGCATCCAGCATCCAGAATCCAGAATCTGCATCAGCATCAACATCTGATTCGGTCCATGCGCCAGTTCAAGGTTTTTCAATGTCCAATTAATGGCAAAGGAAATCCCAGTCAACCAGGCAGGCAAATCTATTCGAACAACAAGTTTAACATAAGAACACGGAGAGAAAATTAACACTTAAGACTTTATAAATATTAAATCTATGGTAAGAATCCTTTCTGATCGAATGTCTTAATATAGTATATACATAAGTTTTAAATGGGAATAGTTGTATGTCTAAGTATGATAATGTAATTCTATAATGCAACTAAGCTTTATTATACATTTATTAAGTATGTAATTTAAACTCAATCTAATTACATAATTGTAATAGGTCCCCTTCAAATACTTCAACACTTTCAGTGTTCACTGGCAAAGAATGAAAAGAATCAAGAATGTACTACATCGAGTACATCGAGAAAGACTCCTGGATCCCAGTTGTTTACCCAAAGTAAAAAACAGGCTCTGGATGCTGAGGCCCCAACCTCGGTTATAAAAGGTCTTTGGGAATGCAAAGAGGAGCTCAAAGTGAAAACGACACTGGACGAGGACGACGTAGTTTGCAGATTGGCAAGAAAATGCGCAATTATCTTTGGGTAGGCAAAATATATACCTTTCTCTTCCACTTCCTTCACTGAAGGAGTACCTCTTTTGCGCCCTCTTCCATTGCAGTTAATGGTACTCATGGCGGTGGTGGCCACCAGCTGCGTCAAGGCCAAGCCACTGGTCTCCTTCGGAATCAGCTATCAGCAGCCGTATCTGGGCCCCTCGCCAGGACCCTATTATTATGGAGGACCATACCAGGGCGGTGGCTACTATGAAAACTACCACAACAGCCCGGGCCCCTACAGGTATCCGTATCCGTATGTGAATGGGAATCGCTATGGTGCCCTGGACGTGGGTATCGGTGCCCTATCCCTGGCCCCATTCTTGCTCTGACTCTGAATAAAAGCTGAAATAAATAGTATACAAAAGACTTTCAACTCTCCGCTGCGGCATGCACTCTAAAGCCTTAATTTTCTACCCAGGTCGGGAGGACTTACACACAGAGGTGGTCTACGTGACAGTTGTGCTTGGTTTAGGGATCTGACGGTGACCCAGTGACTGAATTTCCTCACCAAATATCCTTGATTTCCTTCCTACCTCAAGGTGGTGTCTTAATTTAGTAACTGTGGGAAGATACTATTTCAATCTGTAAATATGAGTAGGTGTAAGGCAATCACTATCAACTATTCCATATTCAATATTTACTTTCAAACAAAAGGGCAGCTACCTAAGATTCAAACAGAAAGGGAATAAATAAAGTATTTTAGGATTCAACCTTTCCATTTCGCGATTATGCTAATTTCCGCGGCGGTATCTCAGTTATTTATAGCAGTTGTAAGTATCTTCGGGATGCGCTGCATAACCGAAATGCGTTGATAAAACGTGCTCCCTGTATCTTCCCTTGGACATTGCAGGATATGTGCAGTCTGCCTGCGATAAGCGCATAATTGCAGCCACCTCGGGTATCAAGGATTAGGGGAGCACCGCTGGCCGTTGTGTCACCTCCACTGGCTGTATTCCAACTCGTGAGTCCCGGGGGACACATGGGTGTAATGTTCGTCATGCGAAACTTGCACGTTGTCCATGTGGCAATTTTAGCGATTTCTTGGGAGAATGCGTCGTCGTTTAAGTTTTGTTAGCAAGTCCTTCACGTGATGGTGTTGGGAAGTTTACACTGGACGAAATAATTCTCCTTTGAGTGACTACAAAAATAAACATTTATGTATTGCATTTTTAGGTATTCACATTTACAGGACATTAATGAAAATGGAAAATGTTAAATGAAGCTGAGATCTCAAGATATTTAAGCCCATCATATAGATCCCAGACTTAAAATCTATTAACAATGTGTACAAAAGAAAAAGAAATATAGTCTTGAAATCATTGGGAAACTTTCACTTCTGCTAATATTATATCCTTTGGAACATAGAATTAGGCAGCAAATTTATTGTTTCAAAGTATGTCAAAACGATTTCTGTGGCATTAGTGTTTGTTTAATTATGAATTCACTTTAATGGTCTTAATAAAATCTAAATAAATCTAAATAAAATATCTATTGTATTAAAATCAAATTGTTTTATATCGTTTTAATATTCAAATGATACCCCATTCTAAATTATAAGAACACATATTTATTGATATGCAAAATGCCCTGAAATAATTATTTTTCCATGACATATATTATTCCCCAGCTTGAGAATTATTTTTGCGACCCTAAATCGTTGACTTCCGTCCTGTTTTCTTAGCAATTACTCCCTTAGGGAATTTTCTAATACTTTCGCATAGTGTTTGGCTGAAACTTGGGGCGAGCAGGTGAATGACGTGCACGGATCACGTTCCCAATCACGCACAACAATGCTAAAAACTCAAAAGTGCAACCAGCGACGCCCCAAGTGTTGTTAGCCGTTCGCTGTTCGTTGGCTCCTTTGTCCCAAAAGGGGAAGCATCAGCAGTCACGTTGAGTGGAAAAGCCCAAGCCCAGGCCAGAGGCGAGAGCAACAGGTTCTCAGGACTACGCGACTAGTCCTGTTCATGTCCTGTGGTGTGTGTGTATGGTTTGCTGTGCGGTGTGTCCTTCTCGACGGCGCACAGGGCACTGATTTCCGCTGGGTGTGTGTCAGTATGGCAGGCGAAATCGAATCGGATAACCGAGACCTGCTCGGGTGTCCTCGTCGGGGGCGAAGGTTAGGATGCGAAGCTGCCACGGCATTGAGGTGGGGTATAAAAGCGAGTGCCATTCGCCTGCCACTGGTAGTCTTCATCGAGACTTGAAAGTGTCGCGTTGGCCTGGAAAAAGTTCCTCTGAAAAGTCCTGAAAAACCAATTTAAAAGAACTCGAACTGATTTTGAAAAACAAAATAAAAAACCAAGTGCCAAGTGCCACAAAGTGAACCAAAAAACATTGAAAGAAATACAAATATAATAATAATATTTGCCATGGATACCCTATCACCGAACAACGGCTCCAAGTCGAGTTCCAGCGGCAGTTCGGCGGCCAGTTCCTCCATGGATCTGGGCAAGCAGCAACAGAAGGAGCAGCTACATCGCCATCCGCGGTGCGGTCCCAAGAAGCTCTCCCGCTCCAGGAGCCTGCTGCAGTTGCTCAGCAAGCATCTGGGCAAGCATTTTCACCATCAGCATCAGAACGAGACGGTCTACAGCAGCCAGGATGATATTAGGAGCAGCTCCACGGACTCCTTCAGCCTGAGCTACGAGCGCGGCAGCCACGAGTGCCCCATCAATGGGTCCTCTCTGGACTTGGAGCACACTTCCAGGACCTCCAGTGGCTCGGCCTGCTCCAGATACTCACCGGGTCTGGATTTCTACGATCAGCAGGGTCACATCTACGTGGAGGCGGTGTACAGACCTGGCAGCGCCATGGAGCAGATGCATCCCCAACTGCATTTCGAGGAGGATAGCAGCGAGGGCGAGGGCGAGGGCAGCGGCAATGAGGCAGAGGACGAGGTGGACCTGGGCACCGATGAGAACGAGAACAGCAAGCCCCGGTCCGCATCCTCAGCCTCCGCCTCCGCCAAATCATCCGGCCTGCATCTCAGCCGAATCTCCATTTCCTCCTCGGTGAGCCGAATGCTCCAGCACTTCTCCAGTCCCACGGGCAATGCCTCCATGCGATCGCTGTCCTGCAGCAGCACTCCGCTCCGACAGCCCAAGAAGTCCTTGTCGCCAAACAACTCCAACAGCAGTAGCAGCAGCAGTCGCTCCGGCTCCAGCTCCAAGTCCTCCTCCGGCGGGGGAGGTCCTGCGTCCAAGAAGGAGAAGAAGCAGCAGAGCATCCTGCGACCGCCAGTGCAGTACGTGTCCCTGAAGGGCATGTCGGGGCTCTACTCCAGAGTGCCCAGCTACGCGGTCTGCTATCCCTACACCCTGCAACACATGTACTAGGAAGTAGAGAGCCAAAAGTCGGGGGAAAACTAGGAAAACCTAGGAAACAAAAAAACAGTATAAGAAAACTTAGGGAAAAACAAGAGAAAGCTGCAAGCTGGTTGGGGGTCTTGAAAAATATACATAGGAATTTTTAGTGATGTACGAGTAGTGCCTGAAAAAGATATAGTATGGGGAAGGATGGAGAGTAGCAGCAAAGCACCACATTTTATAAATGTGTGTCACAGCTGAGTTCGCCAAAAAAATAATATATTAAAAAATAAAAAATTAAAATCAGCGAACTGGGCCCAATAAGTGTACCTAAGTCTACGCCCCGATAAATCAAAAACCTATATATCCACACATATATTTGTGCTACGATATACACCTTAGATGATCTAATTGTCTTTGGCTAATCTAGGGACTTTCAGTTTACAAACGGATATTAATTAAATTAGCTTGCAAGTAAAACGAAATGTTATTTAGAAGCCCTCACACATATCTTTGAAGAGTAATTCTTAAAAATACAAATTCAGTGACCTTAAGTTCAGTCGAGTAACACGATTCTTTGCACTTTTCCAACTAGTTTAAATATTCGTTTCGAAACCGAAGAATTTTGCACTTTTCAAATAGTTTCAAATATACTTTGCACTTATTTCAATAACTTATAACTACAAAAACCAAAAAAAAGAAAAAAACTATGACGAATTTATACAACCAAAGAAAAATGAAACGAAATTCTTTAAGAACTTTAAGAGCAAAAACACTAACAAATGAACATTTTACAATAATTCACATTCCAAGGAAACCGAAGTTTTTTAAAGCAAATTATTATGTATAATGGCGGAGATATCACGACGAAATGTATATTGGATGGTAGATGATAATAAAACGTAGCGAAAATGTTTAGAGCCTATATATTTTTAGATCCTAACTGAACAGAGATAACCTAACACTTAAGTCTAGCTGTCGATAAAATAAAATATACATGACTAAAAAAAAAACAAAAGAAAAACCTAATTGCATTCATTTTCTTCGCCAAGGTAAAGGGAAAACAAAAGCGAATGAACTTCATTTCATTGGCCAAGGTAGCTTAAATTCGTAACGGTTTCCCGAAAGCTTAAGGACACCGTTAACGTAGGCAAAAGCTTCTGCTCCTCCTCCCGAGAGAGAGAGAGTAAGCGCGCAGGACCTCTCTCTCAGTGTGTCCTGCACGTGGCCTCCGTTTGTTTGGGTAACAGTCTCCGGCACTATTCCCTGAGAACAGCCGCCCAAATTGTGCCAGTGTGCCAGTGCAGGAAAGGAGAAAGGAAAGGAGACGCTGCCGCATCCGATGATGTAGGCAAAGTCCTCAAAATCAAGGCGCCGAAGGACTCGACCTTACAGTTCTGACATATCATATCCGTGTGACGTTAATCGACACCGCGCTGGCTGCTGCTGCACTCGGAGGGCGTGACAAGCGGCAGCGTTTAAAATTTGATGACACCTAAAAGGAAGAAGACGAAGCCGAAGGACTCATCACTTCTCGAGGTCATTGTCTCTTTGAACCCTTTTTTCTTATTTTGGGTGCTTACAATAATAATAAACAAGCCTGCTGGCCAAGGGATATCACATCCTTGGCACACTTCGGACCCAGCATCCTGTCCTAAGAAAATCAAATTAAAATGCATGATTTATCTGTAAACAAACAAGAGCCTTTAACCCGAATTTCTGTAGACAAATAAACACATCCAAGAGGCAAACGCCTTTTCCGAATAGTTTTATGGCGCAGTTACAAAACGAATTTCATTTGTTTTGTTTCGTCCGAAGAACTGCGTTTTAATTTCATGTCTCCCAGAAATCGGAAATGCTGTGGGTTTGGTTTCTGGTAATTTCCAGAAAAACATCTACATCCAAGCGAAATATGCACTTTCTCCAGGAAGCTCTCTTAATATGAAATGTACAGCGAACCCAAATGAATATTTAATTAAATTAAAATACGAAGAATTTTGTATGGGATATTAAATAATACCCAGATGAATATTTAATATAATTAAAATACAAAGAAATTTGTATGGCATATTAAAGAAATAGAAAAACGATTTAGTTTAACAAACGAAAGCATACATTACTGAAACACAAATTTATTTAGATAAATAATGAAATATAATTTAAACTACAAAATGTTGTGTTGAATAAAAATCTTCTATTAGTTTTTTCTAGAAGCAAAAGTAATGAATGTCTTTTTAAATTGCATACCCTTGTATAATTTATTTTAAAGTTAAGCAGATCGCTTTATTTATATAGGAATTATCGAATAATCAAACAAACTTCATAAAACATATGAATATAAAGTTGTTAATAAATTATAGAAAGATTCCCCTTTTATTCCCTTAAACTCGCTCGCTTATAAATTGTATATTCTAAAGAAAAAGGTTGTCAAAATTCCAAACTTCAAAGGAATACACCCTTCTGTCTTTTTAACACTTCCCAAACATCCCTTCCCCTTTGAAATATAATATTTAACCAAAAACTTTATAATTTTCATAGACAACCTACAAATAGAGTCACTAATTGTTTATTTACAGCCCAATTAAGAGTTGACCAAAACAAAAATAGACCCGTAAAGTTGATTTGAAAATTTCATGGGTCAATGGCCGAATGGACGGCAGGACAAAAACAGTTGAGCTTATTCATTAATCTGTTGGCTAACTTGATTAAGTCGAAATGAGTTAATGCGCCGCTAAATGGATGCGACAAGCGCTTAACAAGTCGGCGACAAAAGAGTCCCCTTCCCTCTTTCAGGCCAAATTGGATTCCAAGTTGTGTCATTTCGGCCAAAACAACGGCGATGCTGGCCGCTCTGACGTCAGAGCGGCGTCAACAATTGCGCCTCTAATTAGATGACAGCGATTTTTTCCGGGAGAATGTCGACACCTTCTGATTTCTAGCTTTTAATACCTCCCTGGCTCAGCCCCAGATCCTAGTCCTGGTCCTGGTCCTGGACCCCTCTCCTACATCTTGTTATTTTTCATTCGCTGGCGGAGTCAAGACAAAGGACTTCATTAAGCCGCCGCCGTCTTAGCTTGTCTTAGAATGCGTTCACATAAAATTGGCATTCGGCTTTATTTATAGCGCATTAAAATCAATTTTGGGCGCAATTAAATGAAAGCGAACATCATCGAGGAAGGAGAGAGGAGGCCGTGTGATAAGGCTCTATTTTATGTCTATTTTGGACCCTCGACTAAAGTGAGGTGAAATTATGATAAAATCTTAGCTCGTTCCACTCGTGCCCAGAAGCCTCTTGGCTCCTTAAGTGCCGTGCGCTCTTAGAGGCCCTTGAAAACTGTCATCGCCAAGGATATTTTTAGGCAAATCACTGGCGCACAGGTCTCTCAAAAATAAAGCGCCCTTCATCGCCATGCTATTTTCGACCAAAAACAAATTGAATCAACCGAAGAAAGTCAAACGAAACAAAGTGAAATGAAAACGTCTAGCTGATTAATAATTGATGGGTCTATGGGGAGAATCGCAAGGAAAACAATTAAAGGGGCGAAGAAAGACAATTGGGAATGCCAGTGGCAGGATATTGAGTCGAATGATAGGTACCTAAAGATATACTCTGATTGGTATTAAACATCTTAATTAATTTATGATAAGGTGATAATAGCAGTAGTGGTAGTAATGGTAGTAATAGTAGTAGTTGTGGAAGTAAGTAAAAAGTAGTAGTAGCGAATGCAATTACAATCTATGAGAGTCGAATTCTGTTAACAATAAATATTTTATAACAGTATAATTAAAGGGAATTACATTCTTAAAACGTTTATTTTAATTAAAAATATATGTAGATTCAAGAAGTAAGAAGCTAGCTTCGGAAAACCGAAAATTTGTTACCCTTGCAGTAAAAATGGATCATAACTAAGCTAAAAATGCATTAATTTTCAATCGGAAAACTTTTCTATGTTCTCATAAAGGAAAAGGATAATATAAACTCTATATTAATAGAATTTATATTACAATTTTAATTGAGACTTTGATATACCTTTTTCGCTAATATTATACCGAACTTAATATACCCTCTATAATCCATAAGGTATTCGGGTATAACCACCGCGAAGTTGCTAGAAGTCGAGCCCCAAACTGCGTGCATTGACACCACCTGGTGGCCAGCGGCGCAGGCTGCGGCCGCAATGCAAACAGAAAACAAAAAACAAAACAAACCGACGACCGACGACGGTAAACAAAATTCGCTTCCCGTTTTATTATTAGGCAACAATGGCAGGAACAAAGGCTCAGGGCGATGAGGTAGCCGGCGGGGTGAGAGGTGGCTTTATCCTTTGCAGGCTTGCCCGCTCTTTCGCAGGCACTCTCTCTCTCTCTTAATTTGCCGCGCTGCGTCTCTCTCGAAGGACATGCTTTGCAGAGTGCCGGGCGAGGCTATAAAAGCCAGCGGCTTCCGATTTGCCGACTCACAAGCGGCAGGACAACGTGCCCAGTCGGTTCGCTATTCGCTCTCTCTCTCTCTATCCCTCTCGCCTTTGAGCTCTCCTCTCTTTCTCTTTGTCTGTGGAGAAAGTAAAGGTAAACAGTGGACAAAGACACCGGTTACAATAACAAAGGAAGTGCGGAGCGGCAAGTATTTGGCCGGAAGCGGAAGAGCGGCGGAAGTGCAGCCATTGGCAGTTTGCTTGATAAACAAGGAAATTACTCATACGCACTGGGTGCACTTGTAATCTGAACGGGAGTAACGCATACTCACGGCTGGCAACGGAAGCTCTTACGCACCGGGTGCACTTGGAGTCAGGAAATTACGCATACGCACGGCTGGCAGCCGCGGCTAATTTGGAAATCACTCATACGCCCTGCTGGCTAGACATTGCCAACAATGGGTACACCTCATGTCTGCTTCGCCGATGAGTTGCCGCCGCAACAGCAGCAGCAACAGCAGCAACAGCAACATCAGCAGCAGCAGCAAGAAGAACATAAAACCGCCAGCAATGGCAGCCTGAACAACAACCATCACAGTAGCCAGAGTCTGGTGACCAGCGGCAGCAAACCGGAAGTGGGTTACATAGCCACCCCCTCGCCGGGCGGCAGCCTGAGCGTCTCGCCCACACCCCGCTACGAACGCAATCTGGGCTTCTTTCGGCAGCTGAGCCGCCGCTTCGGCCTGAGGTCACAGGATGACCTAGTTCAGTCGGATGACGCAGCTCACGTTGCACCACCGAGAAGCGGCGGAGCGGTGGCCGCTCTCCAGGAGGAGGACGCGCACAGTTCATCGACCGACTCGTGCTCCTCGGGGCGTGGCCTCAATGCTCACCAGTCGGCCGGGCGACTGGAGCTCATGTCCATGTCGTGCGCCTCCAGCGAGACGAGCAGCACACTGGACATCGAGGAGCAGCAGGAGCAGTTGCAACAGCAGAGCCAGCAGCAACACCAACAGCAGCAGCAGCAGAAGCAACTGCAGTCCAAGAGGAAGCCGACGAGCCGGGCGAGTTTTTCGCGTCTGCACCGGCGCTCTACATCCTCACTGCGTCGCGCCTTCGAGAGCCTTTCGCTGACCTCGCGTTCGCTCTCCTGCAGCGGTCCATCCCCGCCGCCACCCCCCGCATCGTCATCGGCGGCTCCTGCAGCCGCATTGCCCCTGAAGTCGGCTCTCAAGTCCGCCTCGAACGCGGAGCTGCACAGGCAACAGCAACAGCAGCAGCAACAACAGCAGCAGCAGCAACACATGCATCACCATCACCAGCCAGCGGGCAGGTCGTCATCGTCGTCGTCATCAACCTCCAGTTCGGCGTCCAAAGGCAAGGTGAAGCCGCCCCCGCAAAGGATACTCCGTCAGCCCGTTTCCTACACATATCTCAAAGGGATGTCCGGTCTGCCGACGCAGCGGGTGCCGCGCAGTTCCGTCTGCTGTCAGTATGCCCGGCGCTAAGGACCTCCGCATCATCTATATATATCGCAAATCAGCATCAGTGGCCAGGACGAGACACTGAGAAATAGGTGAACAGTAAGCATAGCAGCAGCAGAAACTATTAATTAGTCAGTCAATGATAAATCACTCAAGCAGATTTTTACATCCAATATTATTATTTACTTGAGTTTCAATCATGATTAAGAATATAACATTAATTTAAAAATGTATTTTCAATTAGTTACTTTAACGAAAGAACCGATCTCATAATTTACTAAGAAAATACACATATTTGTAAGCTTAGTTTTCTGATTAGTTTCTCCGTTGAACAACGGAACCCTCTTTTGAAGTAAAACTTTATTCAGAAAATAATTAGCAAGTTAAGGATATTTATTTATTTAAATTCCATAAAGTAGTAATCAAAATGTCTATAATTTTATTACCTAGATTTAATTAAAATTTTATTCAAAAGAATTTAATATTTAACTAAGACTCCTAAGATTAGAAACCCAGAGAAAATGTAATTTTTTGTCAGTGAATCATTATTTAGCAATCGGAAACATCATCTTCCATTTAAGTTCCCTCCTACCTTGATCCCTGAACTTCATTTCAAAATCTGTGATACAACAATCCTCCCCTTCCACTTGACCTTCCCAAAAAGGAAACCTTCCACTCCTCAAGCCCTTTTCCCCCTCCAAAATCCATCATATCCGAAAGTCTTCAAGCAAGAAAGCATCGGCAAATTGGTAAAACAAAAGAAATCTAACAAAACTTAATTGATAACATTTTATAACAATTTGAATAACTTTTGCACTTACAAATTATATAAAAAATTAGATTGTAGCTGCGTAGAATTTGTCAGATATATAAAGTCTACTATATATACACACATTCGTCACCGCTTTGATGCTAGATCAAGATCATTCCACGCATACCAAAGACTGTAAACGCATTCAAATTGAGAAGTAAATGGAATAGTTTGATTGAATTGGAATTGGATTGGAAAAGTCACAATAGATTTCCTTTTGTATAAATTCTTATACAATTCGTGCCTTTATCAAAAAAGAGTCGAAGAAGCAAAAGAAGGATTCACACACAAAACAAACATTTGTTCCAAAAACACACAAGAGAGAAACTTTAAATGTATATATATGATAAGTTTAAGTACATTTCCTTTATAAATATTAAATGGGATCAAAATTCGTCAGGCATTTATCTACGTTCCGCAAAATCCTAACAAACCAGCCAAAACAAAAAACCCTCTTGAGATACTTACATTATTTACTTTAGGACATTTTATTCAACTAACCATAATTTGCCAAAAGTAAATACAAAGATGAATATGCCCAGCACTCCTCCAGCAAGTAGAGTTCAGATTTAGAATTATATAGCCAAAGCAGAGCAGCAACTGACTTAAAAGTATTCAACATATACATTACTTTAGCCGTTATACACATTTACAGTTTATAGAGAACGATATTAAATAGCATACAAACCAAGGCCTAACTATATACTAAATATATATATATGTATATATATATATATATGAGAATGCGAACGCATTAATTCGTAAGCCAAAGCAATAAAGTTGAAGGATATACAGAACAATATCAGCATTAATATACACAGACGTACACAGCATATACAGCGGCATCTAATTATTATTAACTATTTACCTAAGCAGCAGCAGCAGCAAAAGCAGCAAGAATTGTAATCATCTGAACGGCCAATCGCCACAAAGCAAGAGAGTTCAATAAAAGTGAAATAATTTACACCAAAAACGGCGTTTCTCTTATTTACTTTGGAAGCAATCAAATTCTCGTTTCAGCTTCTATCTCCCATTGGTAATAATATCATAATTTGACATTTATAATTTCCACTTACACCCTCATATTCTATATACTTTATGGCCACTTTATCTTCATCTTCTGGTGACACCAATACAAAAGTTTTTCCCATAAAAAAAGTTACCAAAAATAGCCACAAATCAATGACTGATATACACATATTAAGATGATGATTATGATTATGTGGAAACTGCAATTAGGCGGGCCAATTGAACAGAGTCTAGAGAAAGCGGAAAAAACCATAACGCACGGGTGAACCCCCTATAATGGCCATGGCTATAATCGCGTCCAAGGAGTCCTCAACCCGTCGGCATCGAATATTGTGTTGTGTCCAGGAAAGTAGGTCAGCGATTGAATTGCCAGCAGCCAGGATATCTCTGTTGCTCCGTTACTATTCGGTTGTCAGGGCAATGCTGGGATATACATATCTCCAATGGGGAATTCACGTTGAATTTATAATGAGCCCGAGGATGTCTGACGGCGGCATTTGATTAATACGATTCCAGCTGAATTGGCAGACAATAAATATCGAATAACCCGGCCTCAGGCCCCCGACCGCAATAAAAACAGCATCGGAGCAACTCTGACAGTTTGATTTGACAGCGAATCGAGAATGGGTTTGTACTTGAATTTCTTCGCCTTGATTGATTTGTGGCTGAGCGACAGATTTCAAATTAATGGCGGCGAGTTCCCACAGGGAAGCTGCTGCCAAACAATCATCATAAAAATCCATCTGTTTGGCAAATCAAACTGAGCAACCAATTAACAATATTAGTGCTAATATTAAGCATAATCTGGGCGCAAAAACCACGGGAGAGTGTTGCTTTTCCCTCAAATTTAATGGGCAATCGATGTCCCAGCCGCTAAATGGCCGCAACAGTCACGCTCTCGATGTTCCTGCTGATTTGTTGTGGCTCGACAACAAATTACATGCGGCAAAACACCACAAACACCACACACTCAATCACATATATATATGTATATATATGCCGTGCGGTGCCCAGTGACGTGACCGAAAAGCTGATGAAAAATGTCGGAATCTAAATATTTTCGCAACACATCATGGATCGCATGGAATCGGCAGAAATTGGCCCACACACTATAGTGTGTGTGTCTCTCTGTGGGCTAAAAATATCCTTTGACCTAATTCCCGTTGACAGTCGACAAATGTGGGGGCATTAAAGTGAGATAAAAAGATACGCAACCAATTGTGAAGGAGGCGGAGACGGGGCGTATGCGTGATTTTTACAGCTGTGATTGTTGCTCATACGAAGCGTTGGCTGTTGACTGCTGCCTCTCGACTGTTTGCCTGCCATTCTGTGTGCCGCTTCCTTTTCATTTCCATTTTCATTTTCATCCACATTCCCATTTCAGTTCAGTTCAAATTGCAAATACTCGTAACAATAAAGTGAGCATTCCCAGCAGCCAACCGCAGTCACGTAATCATTTTGACAGCAAGCCAGGACTAGTTTTGCTCCAGCTCCTGCTCCTGCTCCTTGGTGTATCCTCGGTTGCCTCCACTGCCTTTAATATTATGGCACTCCCCAGCAGATGTCTCCTCCGACCATGAATAGCTATTTTTAAGCATTTAATTAAGTCCCCTTCTTGGGGTGAATATTTTTAGCGTGTTCTTTGCTATTTCTATACAGGCTTTTGCTCGCTTCCGCCACTCCTCCGCAACGAATTCAATGTTTTTGGTTTAAATTTCACCTCCATACGAATATGTGTGTGTGTTCTCGCGAGCGAGCGAGCCTTTTGCTTATTAATAATAAACGGAAATAATTTTTACTTTCATTTCTGGCAGTGGCATCTCGAGTTCCCCGCTTTATGGGCCCCTCAAGGTGAGGCAAGGATTTCACGCAAGGATTTCATGCTCTTGGCCAGGAGCAACTGGGGGTGGTGAATCGAAGGCGGCCCCGGACTTCCTTTCAGGTTACGCAGCATTAACTTCACGCAGGGAGTTCGGGCTCCAAGGCATCCACATCCTGGTCCTGCTCCCTTCCTTCTCCATCGTTTTATACATCGGTATGGGACTGTTTATGAGACAAGGCGTGTTAATTTGCTGCACGCGCCGAGCATGAGATGTTGAGGCAGGGGAGGGAGCCCTAGGATGCGGTCAACTTGTTGCCCCAGTACTAAGACAAATCGATGGACATTAGAAATACCCTAGACCTAGCTATATTAAAGGAACGACTTGAAAACTACTTAATTTTTGATGGGATATCTGAACAAAGACTAACCAATACTGTGTTTATAGCTTAGTCTATAACCTACTTCTTATTCCACAATTGAATTGTTTGAAATGTTTCCCTATTTTGTGTATTCCAGCATATCCTTCAAGTTAAGATTACAGGACACCAACATGCAGGCCGCAATGTACAAACAGTGGCAAAATAATTAATCTTCTTTTGAGGCCCTGCCACCACACATGCGTGTGTGAAATTTTGGGAGGCTGGGACAAACTTGACGAAAAATCTGAACTTGCGGCCCACTTAGTCAACTTTCTGACTGTCTTTTAGTGGTTATGCTTCGTTGGGAAGACGAGGCCCCATCACATTAATTTTTATTTTCATTTGAAAGCAAGTATATACGCCTCGGTCCCCCACTTATATGACTGTTGACTTCCATGTCAATATTTACTTGAGGCTTGTTTACCTTTGCCATCTCATCATCAACATCAGTATGGTTTGGCCCCCTGCATTTGCTCTCATTTTTTATTGTGTTTTCTTTTTTTTATTGAGCATGTTTCCTGCTTGTTATCTGCGTTGTTTTTGCCGCTTTTTTAATGGCACACTGCCTGTAATTTCATTCTTCAAGAAAGAATTATTCGCTCATTCGCGTGGCCCCCGTCAAGTGGGGGAGAATTTAATGAAATTTTCAAGAGGCCTCGTGCAGCACGAGGCTCTATTTTTAGTTCGAATTAAATCTTTGCCTATTGGTAAACACACTTAAGGAGCGTGGGAGATTTTTGGCAGGCATCACTTATGCTAATTCGCAATTTGACCCAAATATCGGACTACGTGAGAACAATCCAGTAACAGGCTGACGAGTGCCACTCGAGCAGGTTCCCTCATTGGATATGCAGCTTGTGTTTCGGTAATTGAACTCAATACGTAAACAAAATGTCTACATTTCACGGCGACAGCTGACAAGGAGTCCCGAGAAAGTAGGCTACGGAAATTACAAATTGCGAAGGCTGTTCTTCGGTGATTGACGAAAGGAAGATTGAAAGATTTATGCATTTAAAGGTGGAGAGTATTTGGAAGCTAG